ATTAATGATTATCTCAATTTCGGCTAAAAGACTTGACAAAATCCTACACACTGTGCCTTTAAAACACTAAAATAATTGTGACTATTTTTGCTATAATGTCTTGCTTTGTCACCATTTTCATCTGGAWAACCTCTGCAAATGTCTGTGAATATCCTGAAGCATAAACTGCGAGGCTGATGTTGATGTAGGGGCCAACGAACAAGCGAAATCAAGTTTTATCCTCATTCATGCAGACATGTGGGAGTCTCTGACARCAGAGAAGTATACTTTCAGACAGGCAGCTGAACTCCTTTGGCTTACACTTTTGTTTCAAGATGTGACTCAGAAAGCAGCTTTTTCAGACTTAAAATTAAATCCTAATCCTAAAAACCTCCCAACAAATTGCCCAAAATTGACAAAACAAAACAAAATAACGACATTGTCATGGATCAAACAAACGAATGGACCTGTTGTCTAACTAAATCTTTGGGTGAGAAATATGTTGTCTTCTATTRACTCTAAGGTTACAAATAAGATTTACTGCCTCACTACTTCCTGTGTGACGTCAGCTTAAATAAAACCCTAATAGGATACAACTGGTTACTGCATTATACTGTATATCCGATTTTCTAAAACAAAACAGACGTCTGCCCTCCTACTTTTTCAAACGTWACTCTGGTGTAGGATTTCTAGCGGCCTTACCCAGGTGTCACTGGGAGTGGTCTTGAGGGAGAGTGGTCCATGGCGTTTTATGAGKGTGAATCCACAGCAGCGACAGCAGTAGTCCAACAACATGAATGGTTGCTGGTCTGAATGAGAGAAAGTAGACCTACGTATCTACATAACTGCTACCTGAGTCTGTGAGGGTGCGTTGGAGGGAAGGAAGGAGAGGTGGATTAGGAGAAAAGGGATTACTACTAAGAAGTTTGGGTAGATCCCATATGGGATAAAGGTGAGCAAACTGTAGTGTAGACGTGCACAAATAACCCAGAATCAGGATGATGGTTTGGAGATTGTATACAAATCAACTTAAAAGGTAACCAGAGTGATGGATATTGAATTGGAGTCACAAATTTTCATTAATTTGCTTTTTTTTTCCTGCTTCTGTGTTCTGTTTTTCTTATTTTGACTCTTTGTTCGATAGTGAGAAATGCAGTATTTACTTACATTTATTTGTGACTCATCCTTTAGAAAACCCATCATTGAACTGTCCAGAAACGCACTGTTTGCAGTTCACACATTCAACACTAGGTGGCAGAATCGACTCAAACCTTCTGTGAACTTGATCCACTTCCAGAAGAATAAAAACAAGCGCAGGAGGTGTTGCACATTTCTCGTAGCTGTTCTACATCTGCAAGTTATTTCCTGTTTTTTTTAATCAGATTGCTCATTAAAACTGAAAGAAGGGGAAAAGCTGCCGCCACTGTTCAGAGAAAAAAAAAAAGAAAAAAGAGGAAAATAAAGAACAGAGGGATGAAAATTTTCGTTTCATCCCCCACCTCCTTCGGAAACACCTAAAAGAATTTGAGGTCTTGACGTCATAGCATGTGTGCGTAAACCGTGTGCACGTGTGCCTTTGTGTGGGTTTGGGGTTCACTCGGCTGCCACGGTAACCTGCATCATCGTATCCATGGAGACAGGGGGGCTGGTCCAGGAGCAGGATGGGCATCTCTCTGTGTGAGCTCACCGCGTGCCTAACAGCATATTTTATTCCACCGCTGTCGACAGGTGATCAGGTGTGAAGCTTTAAAACTCAAAATAACCCCACAGGAACTGAGTGTTGCTTTTTTTCATCAGTGAGTTTGTGAGTTGTTCAAAGAGCTGCAAAAAGAGCAGCGTGAGAGGGTTTTACACTTTCAAGGTTGTGTAAAAAATGTTAGGCCTCACCTTCCTTATAACTGCAAACAAAACAGATCAYCTAAAGCAATTATAAAACCTTTCAGCCAAGCTAAGTGTGTTCCCACAGTCATCATGTGGTGATATTATAGGTCTGATTAGCTAACATGCTCAGGAGGGGCCAGAGTTACTGAGAGCCAACAGCTCAGGGGTAATTCAAAAAACAGTCCCCTTTTTACTGGTTTAAAATCTATTTTAAAAATAAATTAGATTTTGAAATAAAAAAACAAAAAATGTATATTTTTAACAATTTAAAATCTATTATTCTATTAAATGCGGTCATTGGTAGGCAGACTGATTAGCCCAGTCATAGATATTCTATTTACTAAGATTGCCACTCTGACTAAATTATTTTTCATTCAAATTTAAAATAAATAAAAAAAAAGATTTATTTTTAATGACAACATCAGTCCGTTGGGCCGGATTGAAGTCTCCTGTGGACCGGAAGTGGCCCGCGGGCTGCCAGTTGATTTATTTTTTTTTATACACCAAACTGTTCTTCTGCAGAACGAATCAGTAGARGGATTTGTGCAAATAGACAACCATCAGTTTTGTTTAAAGTAAAGGTTTAAGGAAGGAAGGGCTCTGACGAATGTACTGTAACTCAGCGGTTCTCAAACTCTTTCTGCAGAGAAAGAAAATAGTCGGTGACTCACCCCCTTTCAWTTCCCACGGACCCTTGAACAAAATAGTAACGCACCAAGTATTCATGTTTTTTTAAGGAAATACGTTTTCTGAATAATTTGTTGTTCAATATAAAAACAAAGAAAATAATCTGGCATAAATAAAAATAAATACATCCACTGAACAACCTTTTCCCCCTACTGGCAAGCCCATGTGTTTCATCACACACCAGTTGTACCACATTAACCTGCAGCTCAATGTTTCTCCCACTTATTTAGCAACTCTCGGCAAAATCATTCAAAGCGACAACAGACAAAGTAAATANATGTGACTGATACTCACATCACATGGCTATCGTTGACACCTAATTAACACGGTTAACAGGGGGTGGAGTGATACTGGCAATAGCTGCACTGTAGGAGGGGGACAACTGAAAACGGAGGCCTCCACCTCTGTTTAATGATGGATGGTCTTTCTTTTTATTATTAAGTATTACTAAGTATTATTGCAACTTTTTAAAGATTTATACTGCTTCCATTTGTTGTCAGTAAAGTGTAATCAGTATAATCAAGGACAAGAGTGGCTGCCATGAAGTGGGCCGTGCAAAATGGTGAAAAGCACGTTAGTGTGGTTTGTAAGAACTCAGGAGTTCTGTAATTTCCTGCATGGAGAAGCAGAATCTGACTTGACGATCCATTGAGGCCAGGGCTCCAGAACCTGCTGTAAACGCTCACAGCTTCCAGGTTGGTCATGCTCCAATGGCTTCGGCTGCAGGAGAAGACGTAAAATAATGAAAGTCAATGTGAGAGGTGCGACTAAACCAACAATGTTGCCTTTAAATGTCAGCTGCTTTACAAGCCGCTGGATTAATTCGCCATTTTAGGTCAGTGTCGGTGTGACAGCAGACAGAATCGACCACATTTAGACTAACAGTTCACGTGAGTTTGGTGAATCTAATTTGAGCAGGATAGAAAACMGTTTCAGTGTCAGTGACTGTGCAGATTATTAAGCTTAAATGGCGTGTGAGGTGCACTCACACACATGATTGATAAATCCCACACTGGAGCCTGAACAAAACCTCCAAAGAGTACCAGGAGTCGTCGTAAACCATCTGTGTCAACTCCACCCCAGAGACAGAGACACCAACATGTTCAACTGCTATTAATCACCTGCCTGCAGAAAGCCAGTGGTAATGGATTTGCTATATGTTTGTCTGTTAGCAAAATATCTCAAGAACCACTGGATGTATTTGCATGAAACTTGAGRAAAGTAATCAATAGAGGTACSTCTACAACTGMTTAACTTTTAYGACCAACCTGATTAAAGATGGCTGCCACAGCTGACTGACCTTMGCAAACACAAAGATGACTATAAYTTAGTCAGTTTTAAAGARATTTATGTAAAACTTTGTGTGGTTACAGCTGAATCTCACCTCTAAAATATACAGCGTCACACATTGCACCACATATTTACTTTGACAGTAATTGTTAGACTGCCTGTTAGCAAAATATCTCATGAACCACTGCGTAGAATTAAGTGAAAAGCTCAGAGAGCCATCACTGAACTGTCATCTGCAAATGTTTAAGTTTTGGAGCCAAGCTGAGTCACAATGACGGCCACAGCTAAGTGAACACACAAAACACACAACTGGCTGCAATTCAGTTAATTTTGCAGACYTTAAGCTYAAGTTTGTAGCGCTCGTATATGAGATTATTTCCCAACAGTTACTCTGAGTTTCAACAAATTGTGCAAGATCTTACTTATCATATGCAACATTTGATTTGTTGATTAAAGGTTAAAACTTAATTTAAAACAGGGAGTGGGAGGTGCGGGAAGGGGGGCCACAGACTTACATGTCAGGGGGGCAGAGATGCTGTAATTACAGTGCAATGTTAAATGTCATACTAACAGCCTGTGAGAATTGATTTATATGGGGTGATCAGGTAACAACATATGGAGAAAGAGAGGCTGCAGACTTAAATATTTATTTAATAATCAATAGTTGAATTCTTGAGCAATTTGTCTTCACACTCGCTTCTTCTCTCAACAATTTTTCAATAACTGGATTTAAAATAACCTTTTTTTAAATTCCCCTTTGCTTTTTTTTTCATGTTCACATTTAAAAACACTGATTTTGGTTCTTATTTTCATTTAATAACAGAGAAACAGTCCCCCTCCTTTTCTACACCCTGCTTCCGTTCAGTTACACTTTTCCTTTAACCATGTAGCAGACTCTCATCCACAGCTGCCTGTAATAAGAGTAACACAAAATGTCAACACATTTTATTCCCCCTTTTTTTTTTTGCAAATGCCATCATCTCACACTGGGCTTGTTAATGAGAAATCGAACAGTAAGGCCTTCTGTTCTGTTCTGTTCCTTCGCTGCTCCGTCTGTTTTCATTCGGATCCTGAGTGGAATGTAAATACAGCAACAAGTTGAGCGCAGCAGTCAAGGTGACGAAACAAACTGCTGCTTCTGTCCAACATGATGGCAATATTTAGCTTTTTAAAGGCTGTATTGTGAGTGTGAGGATGGAGTTAAAATTAGGAGTGAAGGTCAGGCATGTCATGCTCACAACAAAGTTCAAGAAGCAGCATTTTTCCAGACCAACTGAACCTTTAATGTCTCCATGTTTATGTCCAGCTATAACCCTTAGGCTATTTCCTTTTTTGAACAAATTTAATCTCTGCTGCCATCTGATCAAATAATGTGCTGCACACATTGTGTCCAAAACTCTCCCTGACATTCCATTTACAGTGACTGACATTGTTTTTTTTCCTCCACAAAATCACTTCCAGCATGTAAACACAGGAAATGACACACATGCCAACATCTGTGATGATTTTGCTGCTGTGTGTGCGCGCGTGTGTGTGCTGAAGACAAAATAATCCAAAAAGAAAAGTTGGGGAAAAAAATAGAATTTGGTGCCGAATTGCTGAAAAAGGTATGTTGGGTCTACAGCAAAATAAAAAAATAAAGGGTTATTTCATCCTTTTTCAACATGTGGAAATGTGCCCTGTATGGAAAACTTAATATCTTATTATAGTAGACAGCTCTTTTAATGACCTAAGTTTGTTCAAAGAGCTGTCTACTACAAATACTATAGAAATTGTTCATATTTTTCACAGAACCTCACTACAATTTGGTAAACGTCAGATTATCTGTGCTATTTTTGCTTCTGCAGAAATTGATTTAAATTAATTTCTTGATAATTTTTTTATGTAAATCATGTTATAGTCAGGAATTTTGCACATTGCTGCACAAAAACATGTAGGCTATTTGTTTTAGCTGTTGAGCAAAAAGTCCTCATTTCTGTGTTTATTTCAGTGTTTCTTCACCCCTCTTACATATGTATGGAATTCCCCCTGACCACACACGCACGCATTTAAATATAGCTGAAACACACACACAAAACATGCACAACCCCTTAAGCATGCATACAAATATAACCAGCCTCTTCCATCTCTCAGCCCCTTCCTTTATTTATTTTTTTTTTTTTTTACATTCCCACGAGTAGAGACGCGCTTCTGGAGGAACTGAAGCTGCTACTCTGTGCGGCTCTCTGGGAATAAAACAGGATTTTRCCAGATTCATCGAGCGCTTCTGTTCCTTAAAACCATTTGAATGATCCGTCGCCTGTTTTGACCTGAAACCAAGTTTTTTATTTTTTGGACGCAAACGGTTTGGAGTTTTRACGCATTCTGTCACACCAGCGGGGACGTCACAACTCCCGTTTCCTTCACCAAGGACCATTTCTCCGATGTGGAGTCCCAGTTTACGACTTTACAGAAGAAGAATGAGACGGAAAAGGGATTTCCTTTGATTTCTAATTAGCGTGCCTCTCCGCCGCCCTCGCGCTTGTGCGCGCGCCGTACAACTCTCTCCACGAGGCGCAAAGAGCCGCTCCGCGCAGAACAAAGCCGTCAGAATCGACACTTTTATTTGTGGCGCTCGAGGAGTCCCAGTTGAACAAATCATGATGGTTCTTCTCCGTCGTTAGGGAGCTCGTGGAGCTGTAACGACCCCCCTATTTTAAAGCGCCGCCTGTGAGCCAGGGGTCAGCTGCAGCCGCCTCTYTGGAAGATGGCTTTGGAGTTTTTCCCAGGTTATAGCCTGATCCCTCTGCGTGCCTAATGGCACAGTGACAGTGGAAACTGGGCTTTTGTAAAGGTAAGAACTGAGAATCAGCCACCTCAACACGAACCAGTAAAAACTGAGAAACCTACATGTTTTTACAAGTATTCATGTCCATGTTTTATAATGTTTTAGTAAAGATAAAACCTGTTAAAGCTCAGTAATTGAAAGAAAACTGATTTAAATTGTCTTGGTTATTATGAGTTTGCGCCAAAGTTGAGAGAATTYCTTTACTTTGTGTTGTTGCATCAACAAACATCAATGGTTATTTCACTTTAGAGCTTGAATCAACCTAAATGTGTACTTCTAATATCAAATGTTTGCAAGTAAATTAATTATTTCAAAGTTTTGATTTAAAATAATTTCTTTATACATTCGTTTTATTCAGGAATTTTACACATTGCTGTACAAAAACATGTATTTATATGACAACATTAGTGAATATTTAGTGTTCAGTCCAAATTAACTTCCTGTGGTCGTAGAATATCAGCCCCAAACTTTGAACTTTTCATGTCTGTCCTAAAATCAAAAGATACATGTTTGTGTTGATTTTATTTTCCAATAATTTCTTAATTAACAGAAATAGATTACTTGCACAGTTACTTTCTGCACTTGGGTCTCTTCTTTTTATACTTTTTATATTCTTTTTCAATGGGATGCAACTGTTGGAAACTTATTGGAGACACAGAATTGCCACAAAATAGGCACATTTTCATCAGATTAGTACTTTGGACACATTTGCATGTGTACACCTGTAAATAGATCACAACATTTGTGCAACAATTTTTTTMGGGCTCAAATACAAACTATGCTAACCATGTATGTTTTTTATTGTAGTTTTTTCTCATCTTTTGCCTCCAGTAAGTCACAATTTGGTTCCACTGGTCACCAAATGTTCCCAAAGTTCTTGCACTTTCTGACTTTTAACAGRTTGAAACAGGATCCAGACGCTCAAGGCGACTGTGAGATAAAATTCCAACCCAAACATTTCAGCACATGCTGGAAAGACCCTTGTGAATTCTGTTTACAGTTTGTTGCCAACAGTTTCAGTCCACTGATTTATACAGTACATCCCATAGGTTCTCCTAGCCTTTTTTCCCCCTGAGATTTTTCAGTGGTACATGATAGATTGAGTGTTACAGTACACCCTAGCACAGAAACTCATAAATGTAAGTATGTTTTCTATTAGAAATGCTTTATATTTATGACTACWGTTGTGATGTGTAGTTTGATGTTCATCAGGCACAAACAACAGCATCCTATACCGCTATCTATATCATGCATGTTGTTTTTCTGCTCCAACACACCTGATTTGAATGAATGGGTGATTAACAGGCTTCTGCAGAACATGTAGATGTGATTCAGTCACTGGATCAGGTGTGTTGGAGCAGGGAGACAAGCAAAACATGCAGGATAAGGATCCTCGTGGACCAGGATTAAACACCCCCGGTCTGTATAATCATGTTTSATTAAGTCATTTTAGCCCTGCCTATAAACACATCCAATTTAAAAGGAATTACCATCAACTCATGACATGCAGGCTCCTAGAAGGGGTGTCTCATTTTATTGGGGAGTATTTGAAAATACCGGCTATGACTTAGAGTTAAGCACTGTGAAGACAAAAATGTCAGCTACAGTGTCATAATTGTGAACTCTTAGTTGTAAGGGTCATCTTACACTTCTTATAACAAGGTTATAAGAGTAATTTAATTAGCAAGGATCTCTTTTAATGTTTGGATAAACATTTCTTTAGTGCAAGAATGAAGGGACACAAAAAGTAACTCTGTCAGTGAA